GCAATTCATTTCAGTGCCAGCAGCTGTCAGAACAAACCCTTTGCTTTAGATGGGCTTCCCTGTGTCCAAATTAAAAATGCCAACCTCTCTTTCACACTTTGCTTTGCACTTAACACCTCACAAGGTGTGGTAGAGTTAAAATGCTTTGTGCAGTCCTTTAGTCCTTCCTCTTCCCTGGTCACTTTGCATAATGCTGAATTATACATTCATTAATGGCTCTAACTGACTATGTCTTACGTTTGACTTTTGACATCTCTGTAGGGCCGTGTACTTAGGCTAGAGCATGGTGTTTTTTTCTGTAGTGGCTGGTATTTACTCCTTTCTTCTCATCCATACAGCTGAAGTTCTTCTGACGATGTTTATCTTGCAAGTTCACAAAAACAATGTATTTTTTTTCCTCTGCCCTTGGTAGGTGTAAATTTGTCCCACTCTTTCCTACTGAGAGCACTGCCATGAATCAATTCTCCTTGTTTATTACTTTATTCCATACCCATATGACTTCCTCATGAAGAAGAGTACAACATGAAAATCATTCTCAAAGTAGTGTGTTTCTGTTGGCCTGGTTATATTTATTTCTGAGGTGCAGAAAGTGTAAAAGCCTTTGTGACTACAATCAAGAATTGGGAGGCTCTAATAGGCTGCTCTGACCTTGAGCTGCTGCCTGGCTTGCTAGGATGATAAACCCTGATGGGGAGCTTAGTAGGACCTGTTTGAAAAGCAGACAAATGAAGCTGAGCTGATGGGTTTATGTAAGCTTGGAGCTACATCAAACGGTGTCATGTGGACACGTACCCTCTGCACAAAATAAAGTAGCAAAAAAATCTCTAAGCAGAATTGCTTGAAAAATGCCTGTTGATAATTAGATGTAAATATACAGAGATTTGAAAACACTGTTTAAATAAATCCTCTATTTCTTGTGGTTCTAATCTTTGTGAGTACGCTTTCAGTTAGCAGGGTGCACCTTCCTTGATCTAATTGCAGCTGAGCAGGCATGAAGTGAAATTCACTGAAGTGACATGTGCATAATCTGTGTGTCAGCTGGTACAGGATGTTCCGTTTGATATTTACTCTGTGCACTACTCTCACATTTCAAAATTCAGTCAACAGTAAACACTAACACTGCTCTCAGTCGGCGTGGCCAGTAGTAGAAGCTCCACGTTTAGGTACCCTTTGGTCAGGAATGTGAGGCTGTGCAAGTAAGGCTCTGACTTGGAGGTTACTGCCATGCTGCTTGTGTGGAAGAATTAAAAATAACTCCTTATAATGCCAATCAGTTTTAGGATTAAGGAAGGAAATAATCACATCTAATAAAGTGTACTTGAAAGAGAAAAGCAGGTTCTGTACTTTTCCTTTGAAGCATTTCAGGTTTAGATAATGTGATGATGTCATATTTTTGCATAAAATCATACCTCTTAATATTTGTAAAGCTGAACTGAACACGTTTGGCTTGCAAAACTACAGTGTACAATTGTTGCATTTTGAACATGTTAACGTTTTTGCCATTAATCTGAAATATGATCAATGGACTATATAAGTTGGTAACTGTAGATTGAAAGTGGGAGGTGTCGTGATAAATTTCAGATGTTTAAAAGCAGGATTAAACATGGCTTAGCTTCTGGGAGTCTTTCAGGCTAAAGTAGGCTTTGTTTACTCACTGCATGTATAAGAAGATACTTAATGCTTCAGTAATAGTTAAAAAATCTCCTGGGTTTTCTAAATGAAGATGAACTTTAACATTTCTGGTCCTACTTCATATGCGATTAATTAAATCTGTGCAGAAAGGCTTAATTAACTTCTTTACACAGAGTATGCTCTCTGAACTTGAGTTTGCTGCTGGTATGTGTTGTAAAGTCTTGTGTACACATCTTAGTTGGCTGCTTTTTATTAATTTATTTTTCTTTGCCATAAGCCATTCAAAAATTTACCTTCAGTTATTTTTTTTTCCTGCAGTTAATGTTAGGCTGAGTGATGCTATCATGCAGGATGTTGTACTAAGTCATTACTCCAACTAACAGGAGTAAGGCAACTGTTAAAATACCTGTGTAGAAATACTATTCCTAAGCAGATTTTAACTGTGTACTTTGAACAGAGGCTTTTAACAGTTGTTTGAAACAGAAATAATTAAGTTTGATGTGGTATTTAAAACAGTACTTACACAGGTGAAGAGTTTGCCTCAATGTTTAATAAAAATGTTAATATCTTTTTCTCTTAGATAAAATCATAGTGAATTGTAAACCAACTGTGTTTAGAAGGACTGCTGTGAGGAAAGGGCTTCAAATGTGGATGGAGTATTGTTAAAGCTAGCACATACCTCTGAGGGGTTTGTCCTGCTTCTGCCATTGCAGTATTTAAGTGTGCTTTTGAGAGGTTTCTAGAATGGTGGTTGAATCTTTCTGCTCCGAAAGATCAAGACTAAATAAAGGGGTTGAGTAATATGAAGTAGCTGTTTCAATTATAAGAACTGGACCTTCTGTCAGCACTCACTGCTCTTTTGCTATGTTCTTTTCACACTGTTTTGATTGTGAGGATCAAAATAGATTGCTTACCTCCAGAGAATCCAAATGTGCCAGGTATTTTGATTATTGCAATGTTGAGTCCATGTTAACAGGAGTATTGAAATATCCATAGCTCTACAGAAAACCTGTTAGAAAGGATAAAGCTGAAAATCTCAGTCTTCTGAATGATGAACGCATTATGTATATTTTTTTTTAGTTTTATCCTAATGCTTATTTCCAGTCATATTTTCCCTGAACTGTTAGAACTTCTAGGACAATACAGAGATCTTTTGTTACTTCAGATACTGCTGCTAGGTCTGGCTAAAAGGCATTATCCTGTGATTTCCATTGCAGTTGAGAGTGGTACAGATACTGAATCTTAGGTAGATCTCTTAGTTTATTTTTGACTAGCATTTACAGTTAATTTGAATTGGTCCATAAAACTGAAAAATAACATTAGTTAATTGGATATCATTTCTCTCCTGATCTGTAATATTTCAGTTTAGTCTTTGATCCTCTTCCTTCCCCCTTTAGGTCTTTGCTCTGGTCTTTCCTTCTCAGTTCCTTAGCATCATTAAAACACACACACACTTCTTTCCAGGAAACACCAAGAGGATCAAGAGGATTAAAACTACTAACTAGTAAAACTAATTTAAGTAATAGTTTGAAATGCGTGCTGTTATTTCTGTTAGGAAAATCTGTCATATCTGAGACTTACCACCTATGTGGTATTTTCAGTTCTGCAGCCTGTATTTTTAAAGGTTGAATTTTATTATGGGGGAAGAAGAGAAAATGCACAATTAAACTTCAAATATTTATAGGCAGTCTGAAAGTGAAGTCTGCTTTAAAAGAAGTGGGGTCTGTGGAAGATAATTATCTAGAAAGCAGAGCAGTTAAGTGATGCTTAGTGCCTGGAGGTAGTTTTATGAGAAGTGGAGGCATAATTATTTCTGTCTCCTAACTGTGTTTTAACTTCACAGATTATAGTCATCATCATACTACATGGTCACCTCATAAGGCATAAGAAACAAAAATGCACAAATCAGGTGTGGACTTTGTGTCTCTCCAAGCTTGAACCTTGGACTGTCTGTACTCCTGATTTCACTAGGGACAGGGAGGGCAAATTACAGAGAAGGCTGAGCAGGTCAACTCGGATTTGTCACAGTTATTTTGTATGCAACAGATCACAGAGGGGATGTAGAAATTCCATTCTGATTTTCAAGTAAATGTAAACCAAAAAAAGTAATATGTAAAAATGTACATAGGATGAGTTATTTTTTTTCACTGTTTCTGAACTCATTACAGTTTTTTTCAATGTACGTTTTGAGAAGGAGTCTCTGAAGGATGTGAGGTTGGCTTTGTTTGCCTTCTTGTAGAAAGTCTTTTAGGCATGCAGATAAGAAAATTAGTATGCAGCTAACGGTGTTTGAGTAATATGAATTATTTTATGAATGCAGTGTAGTAGTAATGATGATAGGTCCATAAGGTCACTTGAGATCTTTATGGAAACATTCCTAGAGTATTTAAAATATGGTTTTTAAGGGAAATAAACTTTTAAACCTTTGATGTAAAAATTGATTGTTTTCTATACACACATGTATATTTTAAAAATACATGTATTATGACAGCTTTCATATTACTACGTGTAATTACTGGAGGCATTTTTTGCCCTTCAAAGTCAAAGCAAGCATATAGGTCAGAATTGTAGGTCAGTCAATGTAATTTATTCAGAAGCTATTTTTGAATTTGCTGAGCTAAAACAGAAAACCACAGTATAATTTCTAGTGTCATTACATTAGTCACAAACTGACCTACAGAGGGAATTAAAGCTGGTGCTCAGAAGTAGCTTTATATCCCTGATTACCTGAGGCCAGCATGCTGGGTGTCTAACGTCATGTTTTCTCAACCTGCTTGTAGGTTAATTGTCTTTGTCATCTTGGCAAAGGATGTGGTGATCCTGCAGTGCATAGTCATTTTAATTTCCCCCTACCCCTCCTGAACTTTTAAAGGCTTTGTCCTTCCTGTAGAAGTTAAATCTGGTATTATATAAGCAATTATTATAATTGTAACGTCTGCATTGACCTAAGTGTAATCAATACTAATGCAGGTATTGAGGAAGCCAGATTTTTGCCTGAGGGCCTACCTTATAAAGGCAAGGCTTCCAAAGAGAGATGTTTCAGGATTCATACCGAAGACAGTGGAAGGCACTTGTTCAAATAAATACATATTCTGGTTTTCTTTACCTGCATTTTTTTTTGCCAATTGCCAATCTTCCTGCCTTTCTTTATGAATTTTTTGGTTTGGTTTTAGTGTTCTGGTGTTTGCCCTTTCATGGCACGGGAGGCAGAGATGGAAGAGGCATTATTTTAATACATAAAGGATGGTTAGTTTAATTTAGGCAGTTTCCAGTCTTGCGTATGGGCATGATCTATTCTTCTGTCTGGGAAATTAAAACATCTATTCTCTGTTTAGGAAATCTGGAGGGAGAGCCCCACTTGTGAAGAGATGACGTGCAATGGCCCAGATAACTCGGAAGCTTCTGCCGCTCCGGCCGGCGACAGTGAGCAGGAGTGGGGGCAGGAGCACTGCAGGCTAGGCACTTTTGTTGAGTTTCCACTTGACTGTCCTGTTTCAGCAGCAGCACTGGCACGAGCTGGCTTTGTTTATACTGGAGAAGGTGACAAAGTGAAGTGCTTCAGTTGCCATACAACTACTGAAGGATGGGCGCCTGGGGATTCTGCAGTTGAGAGGCACAAAAAACTTTCCCCAAACTGCAAATTTATTACTGAATCTACTGTTCTGGAAAATAACACAGATCCTCTCACCCAGAACTACCAGCATGGAACTGAAAATGGTTCCATCAGTTCAGCCCTCCTGGACACTCTGGATGACCCATCTGACCTGGAGGCAGATTACCTTCTGAGAACTAGGCAGGTTGTGGATATGTCAGACAATTTCTATCCTAAAAACCCTGCTATGTGCAGTGAAGAGACAAGATTACAGTCTTTTCACAGCTGGCCCCTCAACAGCCAGTTGACACCGAAGGAATTGGCTAATGCTGGATTCTATTATACAGGTGTTGGTGATCAGGTGGCGTGTTTTTGTTGTGGTGGAAAACTGAAACAGTGGGAACCCAGTGACAGAGCTTGGTCAGAACACAAGAGGCACTTTCCCACATGCCTTTTTGTCCTGGGCAGGGATGTGGGAAATGTTCCAAGTGAATCTGTTCCTAGAGTGGCCCGAACAATGCACAGCATCCAAGGAATCCATCTATGGCAAAATATGGAAAACGTTTACAAACATTTTTAACTTGGATATATCCTGTTGACAAGGAGCAACTTGCTGAAGCTGGGTTTTATAGCGTAGGTAAGTCTTGAAATGGCTGGTATCTTCTATCAAAGAAATTTTATTAGTGTCTTGTTATGAAAAATACAGGATGCATTTACTCTGTAAATGATTTCTCATAGTTCTTGTGTAAAATGATATATATTATATGAAGTATTTTTAAGAGGAAAGTGTAAACTTGGTCATAAATACATTTTTAGCAGTGAAACATCCAGGTGTGCTTTCCTGGCCTGCTAAAGCTCTCATCATACATCTTTCACAGTGACAATTACTGAAGTTAATGTTTTTTTCAAAGAGGAAGTGCTGTCTTCCAGATATCTACCTTAAGCTTGGGCTTCTGGCCCAAGCAGAAGCCTGCAGGCAGCACAGTCCAGGTCGTGTGCTGTTTGATGCAGTTAACACGTTTGCACTCTCAGCACTCAGACCCCTGACTCAGGCAGTGCCAGCTGCCTGCTGTAAAAGCTCTGTGAAGACACTGACTGCAGGGAAGGAGCTTTTGCTTACACATGTGGTGTTTGACTTGGGTGGGACTCCAGCCTCTTTGTGCACTTGTTTCCCAGTCAGAGTGAATTGCACGGTGCTGTTAAAGCTCTTTGAAATTCTTCACTTAGAGTTGCTGTAGAAGTACAAAGTGTTGCTATTATTAGGCCACAAAGAAAAGGGATTACCTGTGATAATTTCTTGCTCTCATCTTTACTGGCTTCTCTCTTAAGAGCTCTCAGAACGTGTAAATCTGACTCCCTTTGTTTGTGACCATAAATAAAGCCTTTGATATATTCTTGTACAAGTGATACATAGGCTGTATTTGTACCCAGTAGAATTGTTTTTATTGATCTCTTGGATTCCTAAAAGTACCCTAGCTTCTCACAGCCAAGTGAGGCCTGTATTGTGGAGATGCATTAATTGGGCACCAGCTTACCAAACCCCATGGCTCTTCAAGTGAATTCTGTGAAAACTTTGCTTCCTGTGGCCTGAGAAGGACTGAGTGAGCTCTGTAGGAAAAATCTCTCCATGCCTCCTCTCCTCTCAGTAAATGCAACATCTGAGCAGTTTCTGGCTCAGGCTCTGGTTACAGTGGGCACAGTGCTAGAACAGAGGGGATGCAGTTTCTCCTGCAATCTCCTCTGTTGGTTATGCTGCTGCTGGGTAGAGTCTGTTAAACTTGATGGTGACATGGAGGACAAAAAAGACATGTAAATATCCTCAGTGCTTTGTCTTAGACCACTTCACAGCCTGTTCACCTGTGGATCGAGCTAACTGACAGTAGCTTTTTTTACCTTTTGCTTTCTATCTGTATAACCTCTTGCTAAAATAAGATTCATGAATATTTCATGTGACTCTTCTATATTTTAAACTCAAGTCTCATCTGAGCACTTGTTTCAAATCATATGTATTATCCCCTCCTTTAGAATTGAGGTCTTTTTAGTTACAGTTGCTAGTCAATAAAATATCCTTTTTTCCTTAATGATGTAACTTTTTAGTTGAAAACTTAGTGTGGTACCTAGCAGAAGTATGTAACTTTATTCTCATGTGTTTCCTTAGGTAATGGTGATCATGTTGTGTGTTTCCACTGTGGTGGAGCACTGCAAGAATGGAAGGAGAATGAAGACCCATGGGATCAACATGCCAAATGGTTTCCAGGGTAGGCTATTATTTACTGTTTCCTTGTTGCATGTCGGCCTTATTTACAATATATTAAGTTTTAATCACAGAGCACACTAATAAAGGTTTCAGAAGGTTGACAATGGCTTAACATTGTTTAGATTTATGAAAGTAACTTAAGAGGGTTTTCTTGCCTTCCTCCACTTCCTTCTCCTTTAGTTTTGTCATGTATGTACCAAAGGAATATTAGGTATCTTTCATGTTTATATTTTTCCTTTTCAATAAGTAGAAAAGCTTTGAAGGAAATTTTTTTTCCATAGGGTCCTTCATTTTGTTCTTTTCTGCCTCCTGTAGTCCTGCTAGAATATGTATAATCATAAACATATGCTTTAATGTTATATCAGAGGCCTAAAAGAGAACAGTGGCCTAATGTCTTCTTTGAGAGGTAGGAGGGAGTTCTTCTAGAGTGGGTGGGGAAAAAACTAGAGGCTGGGGGCACAATTAACTCATTAGAGGTGATCAGTCTGAAAGGTTGAATTCTGAAATTGTACATTCTGGGTAACTTTATTTTTAGGTCAGTGTTGTTTGTATGTCAGCATGTTTGTAGGAATTATTAAAGGGAAGAGAAGATTTCTATGCCTGGACTTAACTGATGTCTCAGCTAGCAGAATTGTGAAATACTGAGAATAGAGGATATCTTTCCCTCAGTACCCAGGTACTACATTGTAAGTGTTATTTGAATGGCTTCAACGTGGGGAAGTTTGTAACTTATGCTGGCATGACTAAAGGACTGAGGATTCCAGACCCAGAAGTAGTTTTAAGAAAGATTTCCAATTTTATCTAAAATCTGTCTTGAATAAAAGTGGACTAGTATATGACTCATTGTTTCTTCCAGGTGGATAAGAGCTGTCCAAGTACAAAGACTTAGTTACTTGTATAATATTGATGAAATTAATGTCTTGTATGTGTTGGCCACCAAATTTGTCTTGGGTGGTGAGTGGCTCTCTGGAAGCTGGCAGTCAGTATTTATGCATTAGCTGTTCCTGGTACAGGCAGCTTTTAATTACTAGCCTCTGCCACTTGAAAGAGATGCTGTTCCAGGGTTTTGGCTTGGTGCAGTGAATGGTTCAGATGCATTTTCTTGCTACATTTCACTCCTTATATGGGTTTTATTTTGGTTTAGTTTGCTTAAATTATGTCATATTTATTTCCTCTCAGATTGTTAACTCTCTTATATGGAGGGATTTTTTTGCACATTAACTCCAGTGGCAGTGTGTGAGTCTCACAGTGTGCTGGCTGTGTCCATGAACACCACACCATGCTGGTGAACTAACTGCTGAAGCTAGTGACAGCTATTGTCGAGGAGTTGCAGCACTCCCTAAATGTTCTGGGAGGGAACAGCTCTGCCCAGTTCCTAAGACTGCTTGGAAAATAGTGAAAGCAAGCATGTAAGGCACCTGTCTGACCAGTTACTGCTTTTCTTTGATTGCAAAAGGCTAGAAGAACCAACATTTGAACATAATGTTTGTTTTTCATTGGAGTCTAATAAACCTGGGGCAACAGCTGTCATGACCAGTAAGTCTTGGCTTTCTGTTTCACCACAAGTGTGGAAAAAGTGCTGCTGAAGTGATCAAGATGTTTTTAGAGATACTTATATTTAGAGATTTCAAAAGCAAACATTTCTGTACGATGTAGGAAATGTATCAGTGCTTTCCAAAGTTATGTTGTCAATTCTTGTTTGCTGCTTATGCAGTTTTATTTGAACTAAATGTTTTCATTTATAGGTGCAGCTTTGTGAGAAGTGAAAAGGGACTAGAATTTATAAATAATGTTCACTTAAGAGCTGGATGTAGGGATTCAACAGTAAGTGTCTTGCTTGTTAATCAAATGTCATTTGGTTAAAGTAGAAAACAATGTGATTTTTCTATGAAACTGTGCTTCTAATTGTCTGCATATCATTTAGTCCTGCTGCTGCTTCTTTCCTTGGCAGAAAGTAAAAAACATAGAAGTATATTCTGGGTCTGTTGTTCAGGTCTGTAGAAGTATAATTTGGTTCTATCACTCAGGTGTTATAGATCTCACAGTTCTCCTTAGCTGGGTTATTTTTTTATATATTTTTATATATATATAGTGGGTATAATCATGTACACACTATAGCAAAGATGACTTAAAATGAAAATACAGAACAATATGAAAGATGTGACAAAACACTCTGATCCCTTTGCAGTTCTTCAGAGCAGATTTAATAGCTCTAGTCACTAAAATAACTGAGACCAAATAGCTGTCCTCTGCCTTGTAACTGTATAGATTTCTTTCTGCCTTCTCCAGAACTGTGATTTTGACTGCCTGTATTTCACTTTCAGACAGAAGCTGCTGAAGGGACAATACTTCCTCAAGGTATCTGTTAAAAAACAAAACCAAACCTCCCCTATTACCCATATGTATAAGAAAGAAAATGGTTAATTTTAAGAATAATGCTATTACATTTTTATATAAAGCATGGCAGGCAAGTTCTTGGATGATACTCTTCCATTGCTTCTTTGCCTTTAAAGAACTGTAGAATGAATATTATTTCTCTTGGGGGAAATCTAATCATGGTTGGATAAATATTGTAAAGTGAAGAGTGTAAACCATGGAACAAGTATGTATAGGAGGCAGTTTTATTTTTGTAGCTGCTAAGTATGCATCAAGTATTGAGTTAGTGGTGCTGTGGGGTGAATGTCAAAGAATGCTGAACTGAAACAATCATTGTTGCTTTTCATGAGGCAGGAGGAGTTGGTCTGTTAAATGGCAAGGACTAGGGAACTGAAAAAGCTTAAATGGCTTCTTACTGTTCCAGCATTACACATTCCTGCCATGTTTTTCGCAAATATCAAGCAATAAAAAGGCAAGAGAGTTAAAGGGGTAGTAGGAACACAGTCCAGCAGCTTCATCACAGGGAGTGATAGCTGCTGCTAATAAAGTGGTTACACAGAACCTGTGTTAGAAGCCTCTCACACACTGCTTAGTTATGAGAGTGAAAATGAGGTTAGAAACTCTGGTTTTTGAACAATCTTGTTAAGTAAAGAAGAAATTAGTCATTTACATGTAACAGAAGAACTGGAAATAAGACAGACTCCTAACTAATCTAGTCAAAAAATGGCATTGAAAAGAGGAAGGGGGAGGTCCAGCTGACTGAAAAATGTTTTCCCAAAATAGTGTTGTGTCTTATTGTGGATAAACTTGCTGATTGTGCTGTGTTTTGGTTTTTGAATTCCATTTATTTATTTGTTTCTCTCAACATATTTATGATTTTTTTTTTCTACCCTGACCTGAATTAAAATTAATGTAGTTACCAAATATATATCTATTGTGCCTTGGATTTGGATGACTTTCAATTAATATTCGGTTGTGGAATTTGTGATGTGAATTATACAAGACATTTTCTTTAAGAAGCTGAAATAGTTTATTTGAACAGCAAATCTAGGAGGATTTCTGTATTGTGAATTGATGAAGGAAGACTGGGAGAGCTAGGATGGAAGACATCTCAAATCTTCAGTTTTGGGTGTTCTGACAAAGCAATTTTTATGACTAAAAAAATTCTCAAATTGGAAATATGGTTCCTTTGGCTAGATATTTGCAAAGGTGTCTTAGAGTATTGTAGTGAATACTGTTGGATAATCAGATTCATCCTTGTTAAATTGTTGTTTTGTTTTTTTAATTTCTTGTTTTAGATGATCTCTTACAGAATCCTGTGGTACAAAGTGCCATAGACATGGGTTTCAGTTTGTCTGAGATTAGGAACACCATGGAAAAGAGATTGCAGATATCTGGAGAAAGTCACACATCTGTTGAGGATCTGGTAGCAGACTTAAGTGCTCAGAAAGAAAATACAAGGGAAGAAGAACCAAATGAAATCCCAGTTGAGCAAGATGAGCTTATTCAATTGCAAAACCTCTGTGTGTACTTTCATATCAGCTCTTTAGTCTATGAAATATATCTTGTTGTTATCTGTTTATGCTACCCTTTCATTCAAGTCTTACCTAAGGTGAAGTTACAGTATTTCAAGAGATATATTTTTGGATGTTAAACAGCTAAAAAAAGACTATGTTAAAATATTTGAGCATAGCAGCATTTATATCATCCATAAGTCATATTAATACCTCAAAAGTGAAATCATTGAAATGATATTTGAGCATGCTTCTGGGAAAGGTTATACATGCTAACTAAAAAGTCAGAATTATTGTGACAATGACACTTAAAAATAAAAGCAAGATGTGGGGGCTCTGGTGGCAAAGCAGAATAGATAGAGCAACATGAGTTCAAATACTCCATGTACTCAAAATGAAAAAGTCTTAACAGGGGATTATTAATTTTTCAGTATAATGTTTTGCACAGGACAGAGGCATTTTCCTTCTTGGCCATCAAGCAAAAGTGTATGTCTAGAGGATGTTTCTTTTCAATTATTTGTGTCCTGGCTGTGCTGGGACATGAAAGCTGTGCTCAGAAAGCCACTGTGGTATGCTCTGCAGATAGACCAACCCAAATATTTCTATCTTGGGAGATTTGTAGCTGAAGACAAGCACATGGGTGAATGAATAGGGGAGAAGAGGCAATCTGTTTTTCATGGGAGGCAGAGGTCTTACCAGTCCACTATTTTAATAAGATTTTTAATGGACATTATAGGGGGGAAAAAGAACTTGCAGTGAAGAGGGATGTTATTTTCATGGTTGACTGTGCAGAGCTTTCCCCAGGTGGCAGGGGAAGGTGTTTGAAGTTTGCATTTCCAAATGGGGCAGACCAGAATAACGAAGAGCTCATGTACAATGCAAAATTGGGTCTTTCTGCATTTCAATTTTTTTCAGCTTTTGAAGTATGGGCACTTAGAAAATGGAGGCAGGGAAGGAAATCACATCTGCATTCTTTTCATTGAGGAAATTCTCTGAAGAAAGAAAAAAAAAAAAATAAATCCAAATTACTTAACCAGTATCAATGAGCCTTTCTTTCACCTTCTGTACAAGTTCTGGGAAAGTTGTCAATGGGAGGTCTGTGAAAAGAATGGCTCCTGATTGGAATATACATATCCTAAATTGTATAGATATTTCCAGCTCTTGCAAATATAGATAGCTGAATTCCCTGCTTGCATTGGCCTGAGAGATGTAGTGAGATGAGGGTGGAGGGAAGAGGATTCCATGCTGCAGCTTGGTTTCCTCTTGTAATTATTCTTTTCTTTTTGAAGGTGTGACCTTTAAATCATATGAAGAAAACCTTGTCCTTGTGTGTAAAGAAAAAAAAAAAAAGAGACATTCAGTGGTACTGTGTTAAATTCTTTTTATGTGTTTATTTTCCTTAGATCTCAGTACTGAAGAGAAGTTAAGACAGCTGCAGGAAGAAAAGCTTTGTAAAATCTGTATGGCTAAGGAGATAGCAGTCGTCCTCATTCCCTGTGGCCACCTGATTGCCTGCAGAGATTGTGCTGAAGCTTTTCAGGAGTGCCCTCTGTGCCGTACCACTATTTTGAAAAAACAGGAAATTTTTATGTATTAGTGAACTATGCAGCACTGGGGATGCAAAGATTTCCTACTTTACTGCTTTAAAAGTGTAATGTAATGTACAAATTGCATTAATTCCACAGTGCAATCACATGGCAATATTTAGATTTTTAAGCTGTCAATCTCCATATATGTTTTAACATTTTAAAAATATTTTCCTCAAGTGAGTTGTTTTGTATGTAAAAATCAATATTAAAAGGCAAATATATATGTTCTGTAACTTCTACTCATAGGCCTGCTTTGGGAAAGCCAAAGTAATGCAGAGCACTTTTTATGCCACCATTCCTTTGCTTCACTTTGGTAGGACTCTGCACAACTAAAGTTTATGCAGATACAGTTGTATAATGAGTCTGGCCCTATGTAAAACTGTATATAAGTAAATTTTTAAAACTACTGTATACATGTATTTTGTATCTGAGATTTCTAGATTTTCAAAAATGTTATTTAAATTGAAGGTACTATCTTATTTCCCAAACTTTGGTTGTTGACATAATTCAGAGAATATGTGTAAACCTGCTGCTGCAGTATTTCACCTCATCTTTGCTCCTGCTACTTCATAAGTTTGTATGTTTTGATACATTATTCCTGTCTCCCTGTTTATTTTTTCTGGTCTAGATGTATAAGTTGGCTTCAGTAAACTGGTGTTGGCCATCCATTTCCACAAAAATCCTGCCAGGTATAAAAAGAGTACATTAATTTCATTCCTTAAAAGGGAACTCGACAGGAATGGAGGAGGTTTTACATACCTTGTGTCCTTCAGGAAAGGAGCAGCCTCATTTTAAAATTCCCCCCTGTGCAGAAAGGTTTTCATTTTTCTGGGCTCCCCATTTCCAGAGGGACAGAGATCTGGAGAGAGGCCAGCGAAGGGCTACGAGGATGACTGGGGGACTGGAACACCTGCTGTGTGAGGAGAGGCTGAGAGACCTGGGGCTTTTCAGTCTGGAGAGAAGACTTAGGGGGGATCTAATTAATGTGTATAAATATATGTGGGTGGGTGTCAGGAAGGAAGGGGCAATCTCTCCTCACTCATGCCCTGCGATAGGACACAGGGCAGTGGTCACAAACTGGAGCACAGGAAGTTCCACCTCAACATGAGGAAGAACTTCTTTATTGTCAGGGTTCCAGAGCCCTGGAACAGGCTCCCCAGGGAGGTTGTGGAGTCTCCTACTTGGAGACTTTTCAGACCCGTCTGGATGCGTTCCTGTGTGACCTGCCCTGGACTAGATGATCCTGCTCTGGCAGGGGGTTTGGACTCAATTATCTCTGGAGGTCCCTTCCAACACCTAACATTCTGTGATTCTGTGATCTCAGCTTTTAACATTTAGCATTATTCCAGTTCATTCATCTGCTAATACTTTGCAGTGCTTCTGTCTGTAAGAGATTAAACACTGTACCCATGAAAATGCTTTCTTTTAATTCACCAGTAGTGGTAGAAGTCTTTCATTTTTGAATGATCCATCAGTTCAGCAGTTTGCAACATTTAAATGAAAAAATTAAGAACTATTCTAGTGAGAGTCACCTTAAAATACTTCAAAATATTTCTGATTGAACTGATCCTAAATTTTCCACTTAAAATATCATGTCTTTGTATTTAAGTACGGCTGGTTTACCGTCACTCTGCTTATGTCACTTCCTCAGTTTGTGGAGCTACTCTTCTGTGTATATATTTTTATCTTTGAGCACTAAACACTAAGATTTAGAATACACAGAATATAGTTTTTCACATTTAAAATCCAATATATAGAAATTTAGTGTCTACTCTTCTATTTTTTAAATGTGTTGTGATTATATGCTGCTATGATGTTATGAATATTTAAAGTGCATCTCAGTTGTTCCTTGATCAACATGTTTGATTCTCACATTAAGACAAAAAATAATGATAACAGAAGGTTGCTTTCTGTTGCTTTATTGTTTTGTAACTCAACTGTTACTAATGTAACTTGAGTGTTATTAAAGATAACGAATATATTTTAATCAGAGAAGAAATAAAGTCTATTGTTTGTATAAATTAAAGTTCATTCATTATAAAATTAAAATATGTACATTTTGCTATTTTTTGTAATAGAGTCTGTTTCTTAGAAATATATGGTGACTACTAATCATGAAGAATTCAGCACAGAAAGGTTTTGTGCCTTTTTGTGCCTTTGTGAGGAGTTCAGTGTTTCAGATAATTCATGCACACGAGGTTTTTGGGGACGTGGACTGGCAGTTCCCACAGGCTTGTTTCTGGGGGCCAGTTTCACTTACAGGGTGGGTTTTCTGTCCTTTTTAAGGAAAATTACAGGGGCAGAGGGTACAGCCTGTGAGCTGGTGTATCTCTCCTGAAATAGCCCCTTCAGTTAACATTGCAAACCACGTTACGCTGACTTGCTCAAGCAGATGGCTTGTTACCTAACCTTGACCTAAGTCATGTGAGAGAGACTATCTGGGTGAGCTGGATCCAACTCCCAGGCTGCAGAACTTGGCATGTGTCTCAACAAAGCTCTGTCTGGGAAAGAGACTGACCAAATTTTCCTTGGAACAGTTACAAAACTAAACCCTAGTCATGAAAAATTTTGGATGGAAGCATAGAATGTAAACTGCCCACGAAGAGCCTGGAAGAAGGTCACAAAGAGTGCCCTGGAATCTGAAAGGGAGAGCAAGCACATTGTCCAAATAACGTACAAGCAAATAGCATAAATGCTTTGTTTTAAAGCTTGTTAACTTTTCAAAGGTATACTTTTGATAAAAGAGTTATAATAAGTTATAAAAGAGAGAGCTAGAATAGCAATTCAAATTTTAATCATTCAGGAGCACTGAAGTGTTAAAAGCCTGTTAGTGAGATGACAAAATAACTGATCTGTAGGTTTAGTTTTTGGTACAAATCACGCTCAGAATTCTATTTAAACTAAATGTAAAAAAATAATTCATGTAGTCCTCAAATTTTGACAGCTTAAATTAGGAAGAGGGTTTTTTTTCAAATTACTTTGATTTTCATGATCTTAAACAGAGAAGAAATTCCATGGACACAGATATTGGGCTGAGTGTTCAAAGAAAGAGAAATGAAGGATGCAGACAAAGGGAGTAGAAGCACAGGTGCTTTGAGGAGGCTGGGGGCATGAGCCAAAGCTCGTGGCACAACAAGTTTTTCAATTATAGATTTTTTTAAAATATTATTTAAACACTTATTTTAATAGTGCCTGGTTAGTTTTGACCACAATATTCCAGCTTTTTTGTTGTTGTTGTTGTTAGTTGTATGTACAGCCTGCAGCTACAGGACAAAGAGTTTGCTAAAGATTTCAAAGCATTGTTAAACCTAAGATGTAGGTTTTTAAAGTTAGCTTTTATGTTAACCTAACTACAATGGGTCGTTAGAATTTAATTATAATTGGGTGGGAGGTTAATGCAGACCCTTGATTGAGGAGGTGTTCATGCAAAGCTTCAGGCTGAGGTGTCCTTTAGTAGGATGAGACGTTGGAAGGGGCTGTGACATTTGCTGCCGCAGTATTTAGTAACTCCTCAGAAGAAACTCCCTTTGGCCTTTCGAGGCGTGCAAGTTCTAGCGCCTGACGTGTAAGCTCTGCCCCAGGGAAGGTCAGCTTTGCACAGAGTGAAAAGATCTTTCTGGCTTCGGCAGTGGTATGTGAGCAGTGAGTTGTCACACAAGGTTCTTCACCCTCCATTTTGTGGTCATCGACTTGTACCAGTAAGAAGGCCAGATGCCAAAAAGCGGGCTAGAGGAGCACTTCCACTGCTGCCCCAGGGGCTCTTCATTGCTTGGCCTGTGCAGGATGGGTGGGTTTGCCTTGGCTCTTCAGCCTGCCTTGTGAAGGGGGTGATCATCTCTGTGGAGTCAAATGGGAAGAGCCAGTCTAGTGAGATCACCTTCATTCCTCATGGCACTAGAGTATGAGTCTCTCTTACTCTCCCTCTTACTATTTTATTGTGTGTTCTGCATGCATAACTTTTACTGAGTAGCTTGGAAATTTGATCAACAGCTTTCCTTCCCCCGTGACTCTGCTGTGCCTTCACACTCATTCACATCCTTGGAAGTATCTCACTGTCTTTGCAAATGCCACTGTGTCATGTTGCTTCAAGAGATTCACTAATGTTGTTGTGCAGCAATTAGTGTGCTGTAATTATAATGTGGCTTTCTATGAGGAAGCACAAGACCTGTGACAACAAAGAACCTTTGCTGAAATTCAGGTTTTATGTTTGTTGGTTTCTTTCTTACCCAGGAATTCCCATTAGGTAATCCTGAGAGCAGCATTACAGTACCACTGTGAGCATTAGTGCAGAGAACATGGCTCTGTGACAAACCTACCAAAAGAACTTGTCTGCTCCTAGGACAAGGAAGAAGACAGTATAAATCCAGTTCTAAATGGCTTGGATGAGCAAAACCCCAAGGAAAATCTGGGGGGAAAATCATATTAATTATATTGTGAATAAGTAATATTTTAAGGTAGGTGAGAACTGCTTGATTACCTTTGGATGATTATGAATTTCCAGTTTTATAGCCTGGACCGCTGTTGATGATGGCTGAGATAGAACACTTGTTTAGCTAGAATTGCTGGAAATATATTGGAGAGATACTTGAATTAGGGTTTTGCTCCCAGATAGAAAAATGGTGTTTACGATGAAAAAAATTTTAATTTTTTTTTTTTATTACTGTGGGAAAAAAAAAAAAAAAAACCAACACTTTTGCAGAGTCCTACTGTGAAAACATCTAGGAGGATCATTACAATAATTCCCAAAAGCCAAGTTTAGCAGAAATGCATATGGTCACCTGCAAATTTTGGAGGACAAATTAATTTCCAGAAATTACCAAGATGAAGAGCATTTAAATTTATTCCTGTGATGCCTTTTTGATCTTATGAAGTCAGATGTGGCTGTAAAACTCTTGACACAATTTCTCTTGTGTAACTTAGTTTTGCATGGTATGATGAGAGTTGCCACTTAAGCCAAACAGTTAATCCTCTAAATACAAGCTTTTCAAAAGTGCGTTGCAAGCCCCCA